AGAATAATACTTAATTGTAAAGTACAATAGATTAGCTGCCAATGCGGTTAAGCTTGGACTTACTGGATAATGCAAACAATGAGTAATTGTAATTTCTTTGTTTTCTTAGCATTATGCGATTTTTCTTATCGCGACGTGTTATTTGTAACACTTATTTTTCTGGTTTTATATTTGTATCATGCCAGGTGATCTATTTGGTTTATTTTTGATATAATCTATCTTTATTAGTAAAATGATTTTCTGGGAATTTTGCTTGTGTTTCCCTGTACATCGGAAGTGCTGTGTGAGCCGGTTGCATGGAAAATATGCAACATTTGCAGATTTGATCCAGTATCTATATATTTTTGGAGGTGTTTTTTTTTAAGGGTTGGGTTAAAATTTAGAGTTATCGTAAAATATACGTATACTGTTACTTCGTCTGTTTTTATACATTCGAATTCGGACTAATTTTGTTTTAGAATTTTTCTATCCCGTTTAGATAATACCATAAACTGCCATATAAAAGACCCGAGTCTAATATGGTGGAGAGTTTATACTATTAAAAAAAAAAATTTAAAAAGCATGCATATTTTTCATTTATAATAGGCAGCCTAGATATTTAAAAAAAAATCTGCATTTGGCTATTGTAGATTTTGAGATTCATACCCGGGAGTCTGATATCTGGAAGGGTCTTGTATATGACAGTTTATGTTATTTTGCCAATTTACAGAATAGCATTAAAATAAAAAATGGCGAGACCACAGGACCCAATTTATTTATTTCATAAAAATGTTAAAAATATTGCCGGTGTAATGCTCGAAATTGGGAGAGCAATAATTGGGCTTGTGCAGATTAGCTTTGAGCGTTGCATAGATTATACAAGACAAATGTTTTATTAGGGATTCATGTTTAATGATAGTTGAGAATTAAGGAAAGTGAAATCATTGAAATAGATGATATTTCATTAGTCAACTACTGGTTCTTCGTTTTGTTATACGTTAATCGATCTTTCTTCTGGGAGCCCTAATTTCCCCCACTAGTTGTGATTGGTCGCATGAAATATCATCTTCAATTGGATCACGGCACTGCATCTGCAAAATCAAAAATATTATTAGTTTTTTTTCAAAAAAAACAATTCAAATAATTATAAAAAAATTCAAATAATTATTAAGCAAAAGTTTATGCACTTTCAAAATTCTTTCTTGTAGCAAAAAAAAAAAAAAAAATCGAAATAATCTAAACAATCTAAACATTAATGAAAATAAGTGCTTCTGACACAACCAAGAAAATTTTATAAGTCTTTTGTTCGGTACTTTATTCTCAAGAGAATAAAATTTTGCTGAGACCTACGTTTACAAGCTTGTAATTTTAAAAAATACCAAATCTGTTTAAAATCCCTTAATTATATTCTGGCCGCAATTTTACTTTTGTTTAAAATAATTAACACGAACATTTGAAATATTCTAAATTCATTTTATTGATACTGTTACAATACCGTAAATAAATAGAATGCTACTGCAAATTGCTAATTAATAGATTTTTTTTTTTTAAATATTAATACAATAATGTACTCAAATTTTCAAAAGATTTTTCTGAAAGAAAAAAAGAATTAGTCAGTATTAAGTTCTTTCGGAAAAATAGCTTTCAAAAATCGTACAGTAACCTTGACAATATTTTAATAGGTACTAGTTTGCTAATTAGTAATGCTAAAAATAGATGTTATTGAAATATCTGATATTAAATATGAAAACGATAATTCAGAATTGACAAATGACGCTGGTATTTCCCAAAATAAAGAAGCAACAGAGAAACTTTCTACCAACTATAAAAAAATTCAACAGAACACTACGGCAAAATTGGAAAATGACTCAACAAATAATGAAATAATTCGTGGTTTTTTCGCCAAATTGCAAATAAAATTATTGAGATTCTATTCAAAAACCCTTCCATCAAACTTTTCCAATTTTCTTTATTTGAAAAGCGACAGCACCACCTAGTAACAATCGATCAACATAATGAATCACTTCAATCAGCAATGGCTAAAATCACTCACTGCTAAGTTGCTAAATAATTAGTAAATTTTCATACACTTACAAACCAAAATAAAATAAAGCAAAGCAAAACAAAAAAAATAAAATTAATACTTATTTTGTTTTCAGATTTTCGTATAGCAGTATGATTTAAAAAGTGGATATAATAAAAACTTATTGGCAAAAATTTATTTAAATGTTCATACGAAATTATTACTAAAAAACTTGAAAGGCTAAAACCCAAAAGAACAAAATGTCGAAAATAATTATTTTTTTAAAAGAAAAAAAAATTTTTAATCAATGTAATCATTACGAAAAGAAGTAATTTATTCTTTAATTGCGATGCATTAGATGGTTACGTAAAATTTTAGCCGCCCTGATCAATGATGTAATTGTTTCGTTCAATGGAAAATGATAATTGTATTCGCAGATACTTATTTTTGTTACGGCAATTACACCCTATTACGGCATTTACAACCATTATGGCAATTACAACCATTACGCAGTTACAGCCATTACGGCATTTTTCAGCATATACGACATTTTACAGCTTTGAGTATTAGGGTTGCAACCCAGGTTGTAATCCGTAATGTCCGTAATTATTAGCTACGGCTGGCAACCTTAGTCACCATGACACTAGCCAGTTGACTAAATATTGGCTAATCAGATGGCTAACAGCTCACTAATCCGTCATTTCCGGAAAATTTTGGAAAAACTTAGCTCATTTTCCTTTTCGGAATTTACCGAAATTAAAAATAGAATAGAAATAAAGACCAAGGGAAATAATGAAGTAGCCTAATCACACTACGTATATGCCAAGTCATATGATTTGGCCGCATTAGCCAGCTGGTTATATTTTTTGGCAGGCTCAGCCGCGGCTACCATAGCCAGCTTAAATTACTACTATATGTCACATTGAACATTTTTAGAAGAGATGAGTTCTTTCACAGCAATACCATCTGTAGAGAATATAATTTATATAATCTAATAATGGATTTTCTGTGAAAGAATCCATATAAAGTTGGATTTAAACATACGTAAATATTATATGTATTTTATTAAAACTCTGTTTCTGTACATTCATGTGTTTACATATTATAGAGACTCTTTATACAGTCATAATTCATAATAACAGGCCAAAGCTAGGATGTGCGTATGTTCAAAAAAAGTTAATGTCAACAATTTTTTTAAAAAAATCTTTTTCACGTAAATCAATTCGATGATTATTTATATAGCATTAAGCCCATATTTTCAATTATAAAAAGTATTTTTTTTGACAAATATATCCTCAAATTCAGAAAATTGAAAAAAAAATTTATTTAATGTGTCAGGTGCGAATTCGAATTTGGTGAATTCGCAGCAAGAAACGAATCCTCCGGAGAATCCAGAAGAAATATACTATCTCATTAAACTAAAAAGTAGATTTAAAAAGTTGCGACAGCTTCAGGGCTCACTTTTTGTGCAACTATTTATTTCTGCATATTGGCGCTTGGAATTGGTGTTTATAGTTTGTATTTGAAAAAGAAGAATACTAATGGCGAACCAAATACAACAAACATCATTTCAACTACTGCTATTGGACTAGAAAACGTTGTGACACTTTGTAAAAATTTGTGGTCTCTTAAAAGTCTTATTAATGAAATGACAATACAGAATCTTTAAAAGATTTATACAGTAAAGAAATTGAACGATCTGGACTAAAATTAAAAATCACTAGATGTAAAGATTTTTGGAAATATGATTTTGGTAAGCATCATGAACTAGTGCAACATGAAAAGAATAAATGAAAACAATTATATTTTGTGCAAGGACTAATTAGACACACGAAATAGTTAAAGTTTTTATATCTATGTAGCTTGCTTTATGTTCATGTGTTTTTATTATTTTGACTATAATCTCTGTTTTTACCTTGATTGGCTCTGATTAGTTTTCTTCGTTATGTCTATGGGCTATTGTTCGTATCCCTATTTTATTAAAGTATTGGTTCCTATAGCAATTGAAAAAAAGTGCATTGAAGGCAATGAAAAAATAAATGAAGAAGATTTTTTTTACGAAGATAAAATCCCTTTGGGTTATTTGCTATCACGTGACTTCAGATCTTTAATGGGACTTTTATTGTTCTTATTCTCTCCCTATTCTTGTTTATCAACCTTCAAATTTGAACCTAAATTACGGAGAACTGAAATTAATAACATTGAGTTGGAGGGGATAAAACGCTTCTTATTGGCTTGCATATGTCAACAACAATCAATGCTGGATGAAGATATTGAAAGTGATTATAGTCAATACTTTATACGACTAAGCCAACTTAGCCGATAATTAAAGCTGATACAATATTTATTTTATTTTTCTATATTCAATATGTTGTATATTATATAAATTTATTGATGACATATTAACTCTTAAGAAAAAATTTACTTGTATTTTACTTTATTTACATGAACATACATAGGGTGTTCTCAAGCACACATTCAATGGATCAGAGGCAAATTTTTAGTAGTCGAAATTAACAAATGAGCTGCTATTCAATGGACAGATCAGCGAGCTACAAATCATCTTTTTTCAAAAATTTACCATTGATAAAGGTCGCTCAAGCACTACTTTTACAATTTTTCATGATAGACAGTGAATTCTTAACAAATTTCTAACTGATCTAAAAAATAGCTACTTTATTTCTAATTCTCAAAGCTTTAAAGCAAATAATCGATACCTTTATATGAACGTAATAAATGCAACCCACCCTTAACCTTCAATCAAACTATAATGAATACTACTATTCCATTTTTGTTCACCTAAATTTAAAAAATTTTCAAAGATAGCCCAAAACTGATGGATTTTGAGTAGATGTTTTTCTAGATTAAACGGATAATGAAAGTTATAACTTTTTTCGAAAATATTTTCGTATTATCTATGCTACATTCAGTGCGAAATAGCAACTGCAGAATCACTATTGATTGCCTATAAAAATTATATATTTACTTCTTGCTTCCACAAAGCAATTTTCGCTTAATGACTTCATAAGTTGATCTTGAATACAGTATGTGCTAGGTTGGTGACGCATTAATCAAATAAATAAATTCTAACGATAACGATAATAAAAGTTTATAAATTTTACGAAAACACCATTTCACAACTATTTCTTGCCTGAATCATGTTTTCTTTATTTTTAAAAACAGGTTTCTTTCATTTTTCATAACATTTTTACTACTAATAATAATATTATTACATTCAAAGAAATATTTGTACTCTTATTTTTAAAGAAAATTTATTAACCTACACCAGTGCACAAAACATACTAGTGTATAAATAAAAATTAAATATTTATAATTTATAATTTTCAAACCTTTTTACGACAAATCAATTAATGATAACTTTTAAAGTTTTTTAATGTAATACTTGTAAATAGTTTGATAATAAATCTCAAATAAATAAAATATGCTAACAAATAACATTTACCACATGGTTTAAAAAATTCCTTTGAATGAAAGAAAATTTATTTTAAAAAAAAGAATAATAGTAGCGCTTATTAAAGTGGTTTGTTAAGCATGAAATTGTATATAAAGAGTTGATTATATTTACTTATTTCAACAAAACGGTCAATGAGACACATGGTGAAAACTTTCTTTCAAAACAGAAATATTACAAGCGTACAGAATAAAAGAGATTCTGTGGCAAATTAATGCGCCAACAACTTGGCACACATTTAAGAATTGCAGAAAATATCATTATGAATTAACGAACCTGAGCACACGGCGAAAATTTTTCGATGGGAATTTTTGATTATTAAATTAAGTAATTTCGATCAGAGCAAATATCCCATTGTAAAATGACAGAGATTTTTGTTTACATCTTATTCATAATTCTTGAAACCTTGAAAAAACTTGCCAAATGATTTTTTTGGCTAATTCGGCATGGTCGGAATATTAAAGATATGTATTTTTATATTACATGTATAATATCATATTTATTCTGCAGATAGTTTATCATTATACTGTCAACATTATTAAACCTTCGTTTGAATACGTGACTTTTCGTGTTAACCAATAAATCTTTACTCAAATTAAAAGACTACAAATATAAAATAAACTTTCTATAATAAAGTATAAGTATTGATATTAAAAATGTTGAATATGATTAAGAATTTGTCGACTAGTTTAAAATGCACTTCGTAGATTCCAAAAAATGATTATTAGTATTTATAACAAAATTGGTTTCATAAAAGTGACAAAGGTTTTTTGATTTAGAGATCAATTTTTCGAACTAATAAGCCTTCCAAATTTGTTGCTAACGAAAATGATTTGAATGTATCATATTTGTATTCTACTAGAGGCTTAGAAATTTCTCTCCTACTCCTATTGGACTAATACAAATATTGTTTTTCATTTGATGAAATCAATCACATTACTAATTAGGGTGGCAAAAAATTTCATGTAGCAATCTAATGCACCGCAATTAAAGAATAAATTACTTTCAAATAATAATTTTGCAATTATTGCATTTTAATTTAAATAATTCTTTTCGCTATTTAATACTAACGTTTTGCACTTTTGAGTTTTAGCACTTTCAAGTTTTTTAGTAAATAATTTCAGTGAACTACTGTATTAATTAAATAAACTTTTTGCCAATTTTGTCGAATATTACTGTATTATGTAAAATTTAACATACCTACTTTAAATCATAATGCTATACAAATAAGTAAGCAAAAATAATTATTAATTTTTTTAATTTTTGTAAATGTATGAAAATTTACTAATTACTAACTTAGCAGTAGTGTTCCTATCGAACCGAACCAGATCAAACTTTAATAAAGTTTGAAACTCGAACTCAAACTTTTTTTAAGCCTAAGTTCAGTTCGAGTTTGATTTACAAACTTTTTTTATAGTCCAGTTTGATTTGAAGTTTGGTCCGAAGTTTGCAAACTTGTTCGGGTTTGGTAGAATTAAATTAAACCTTTTTCAAAGTTAGGCTTACTTTTATCTATGCACGACAATGTCACACAGCTACTTATATTTATAACTAACCTTAAAGTGAATCGAATTAATCTTCGTTCTCACCCTGGCAATTTATTTGAATGATTGAATGATTATGGTTCTCTTGAAACACAAACATTAAAGCAAATCAAATTAATCTTTGTACTCACCCTGGTAATTTATTTGAACAATTGAATG